GAGATCTTGCATGCGCCGACATGAAAGATCTTTGAATCTTGATCGTGGCACGAACGACATTGGTGCCATCTTGATGTCTTGGAAAGCCCCTGCTTGGGTTAGTCAAGCCTTCATTTCCTTTGCAAGCATCCCATGCCCGTTGGGGGAAAACCTAGTCGTAGTAGATGTACGGTGTTATGTGGCCTTAGCTGAACGAAGTCGAGCCAAAAGACCCATGGGGCAGTGTTCGTGAGAAGACGTCAGAACTAGGTCGAGGCAAATCGTGAACCAAGTACGCTATTGATTCGAAGGGGGATCGGCACATCTTGACGTAGTCCGAAGCATTCATCCCGCAAGCTCAATGTGGCTTCGAGGCGGGGTATTTATGACTTTACCGAATAGGTATACCCCATTTTATCATGATGATCTGCGTAACGTATTTCATGCACTCATGAGTTTCACATGTGACTTCACTATGTGCCGAAGGCATCCTTGAGAATTCAAAACCTTTTCACTTCGGCACAGCTGGCATAGCTGTTGGCAACTAGGAATGGATCCGAGATTATGATACTTCTTGTCAAAGATATGTTACGCAAGATTTTATATCCCAGCGAAAATGCACGCCTGCACGGCGAAAACGCAATATGTGCAAGTGAAACACGGTGCACGCAGTTGTCCTTCCTCGGCACAAACAGCGGCTGCAGCCCCTCGGCACAAACAGCGTGGGCAGCCCATGCGACCCAGAACCATGAAAGTCCCGGTGCAGACAGCCCATCCCGCCAGCGTGGACGCAGACGGAAAATCCAACCCGAGAGCAGGAAGAGGCCCGGCCGGCCACCGTGGACCACCCAGCCCCGACCCTGAGCCCGGAGCCAGGAAGCGCGGAAAGCCCATCCGACACAGGCGCGGACACTTCTATCGAGGAGGGAAGCTTAAACACAGAAAACGTTTTGGGGAACAAGTGCATCTTGTGCTTGACGGAATGTTTGTTTGTAACGGGTATTGAAAAGTTCGGGATCTAGTTGCGAAGGCCCGGCCGGCGCAGAAATGACCCTTTCGTTTTGTGCTTGTCTCTGTGAACTCTTGAGTGACAAGCCGGATCGGGCCCAACCGTTCTTACCAATTTGTGTACTTTCAATTGGAACCTTTCAATTCAGTTCCGCAGGGAATGTTCATGAATCTTGGCCTAAGTCCCTAACCTGCAGAAATTTCCGCTTCATACGATTCTTGCTTGGCCAGAGTGGCGTGCTTGCAAGAGCTAGTGCTTCAAAAAACATCGTTTTTGCCATCGCTATCAGATCATGTTAGCATCGTCAATGACATCGTCCTTGATTTATGATAAAGGCATGATTTATCCACATGGGAAATCAATCACCTGTCCATCATGATGCAGACGTCCGTTCGTTCTGTGGCCTTTCCTGCGTATATGTATGATTTTTCTTCTTTCTTCTTTTCTCACCGCTTTTGGCGTGGTGCGGCCACCCAGCCAGCCCTGAATGCGCAGAGGTAACATGCAGTGTTTCGTTGGCCTGGCAGAAGGCTTCTCTCCGTGTGAGCTATGCCGGGGGCCGGGGGCTGCTTGCTCAAGGGACTCTCAAGGAGCAACCCTTTTTTGTGGCCGGCCAGCGGCCAAAGCTTCTCCAAGCCTTCGCGCATCGAAAGCGGTTGTCCCGAGATCCACTTCAATGGTAAACACGCGCAAACTTCGTGTCCCCCTAAACCCTAAACCCTAAACCCTAAACCCTAACCCCGGAACCCTAAACCCTAAACCCTAAACCCTCAACCCTAAACCCTAAACCCTAAACCCAATTTTTACAAAGTTTAGCAATGCAATGCCGTGCATTTGCGGGCGGTCCCGCCCTCCGACGCCGCTGGAGCTTTATGCGAAAGCATTACCGGACGACGCGGACGTCACCGAGCAGCATATTGTCCGTTAGTTCATGTGGCCAGATACATGTAGTACGTCATCAATCTTTGGAAGGTGCAGATACTAGACGTAGGTTCCGAGACTACTTGTTAATCTACTGCCGAGGATGTTCAACACCCGCTAAGTTTGATCCTGAAACTGCCCCCTCGGCTTTCATCAATGTGCGTTTGAGTTCTTCGTTGTTGGAGCTTCAGTTTATGCTGCCTTTAAAGGGGGGAGGAGCAAGATCAATAGAGGTCCGGGCTAGGGAACTGAGCAACCGCTGAACTCAGCGCCTTGAGTTTCGCACCTACAGTGATGTGAGGGCAGCCCTAAACCCTGAACGTCCCTGTGCCTTAAGCTTCCTAGTCCCTACTTCGAAACCCTAAACCCTAAACCCTAAACCCTAAACCCTAAACCCTAAACCCTAAACCGTAAACCCCAAACCCTAAACCTTAAACGGTAAACCCTAAGCCCTAAACCTTAAACCCTAAACCCTAAACCCTAAACCCTAAACCCTAAACCCTAAACCCTAAACCCTAAACCCTGAACCTCAAACCCTCCACAGCAGAGGCCGGTGCATTGACGTTCCCGATGTACACGGTGCCAGCAGCTGTGCTGTTGAAGATGAACAAGATTGAGCCTCATGAGCTCCTGAAGGCTGGCGCGTGTAAGGCTTTGGGGTTTAGGGTTTCGGGTTAAGGGTTTTGGGGTTTGGGGTTTGGGGTTTAGGGTTTAGGGTTTAGTAGACTCATGATGAGGAGAGGTCTCCGGCCACAAGCATCCCGAAATTGCAAGTTTTCCTCCGCTTTCTCCGGCCCTCATGTCGCAGAGCGGTTCATAAGAACAGTGACTCTAAAGTCGTTGAGTTGTATAGGTCCATGGGAAACCATCTCCTTCTTAACAGCCTGTTGGCCGTCCCTCCCTCACACCATGGTCTCCTTTGCGTTATGGCACAGAGAGAGAGAGAGAGAGAGAGAGAGAGAGAGAGAGAAAGAGAGAGAAAAATCATAAGAGAGAGGAATGGACACCACTATGCTCTGTTGCTGTCATCGTGTCAATTCACTGTTTGGCAGCAGAGGTGACGTTTCACACAACCCCACGAAACCCGCAGGTAAACTCCTAATCCCTGTAAACCTCCTAGATCTCGTGTATTGCCCTGGCTCCATGGAACATATTTAGCAATATGCCTCATGAGTTTTCGTAGATGAAGCCGCAACAGATACTCGAACCAGAACCCAAACCCTAGACCCTAGACCCTAGACCCTAAACCCTAAACCCTAAACCCGAGACTTAATCCCTAAACCCAAAACCCAAAACCCAAAACCCAAAACCCAAAACCCAAAACCCTAAACCCAAAACCCTAAACCCTAAACCCTAGAGTCGGGATGGGAATCCTCAACGGGCTGCTGGGTTCAAGAGGCTGCAAACCTTTCAACTACAAGTCAAAAGAAGGAGCCAAGCCATAGGCTAAACCGTGGAGAACCCAAACCCTAAGCCCTCAACCCTCTGAAATCTTAACTCAATATCTAATTACGTATTAGTTAACTATCAAATAACTTTTACATAAAGTGCAACTTGTTATTAGCTAAAGGCTCACGGCGACCTGATCATCTTCGATGACGACAAAGGGATGGCAGCCTTTGTCTCCCACCAATGGCTGGCTAAGCACCACCCAGACCCGGACCTCAGGCCGATCCGCGATTAAATCCTAGATCCGAAACTGAAGGCGCTAAATCCTATACCGTACGTACCCAATATTCCATCTTAAGCCAGAAGCCCCTGAATCCTAGGACTCTCAAGCCTACAGGCCATATGTCAGCCCACGTCTCAACTCTCCAACCTGACATTCTCACCAGGCAGATTCGCATCCTTCAAGGGGCCCTGAAGCTGCTCTTAACTTCCGAAAGCGGCTCCGTGCCTTTGGACATCATGACGGAAGGGTCGGTGCCCAACGCCAAGCCACTTCCCATGAAGGACTTTCCGGGGCTTAGGACTTACTTCTTTTTTTTGGTTTTTGAGTCTGGGGTTTAAGGTTTAGGGTCCCATGAAGGACTTCCAGGCCAAGCCTTTATTCCTGTGGTACGACTATTTCTCCGTGCCGCAACTAGAAGACCGGAAGTTCTACGCGGCCGCGGATGAGAGAGACGGCTCCCAGCAAGCTCTTGCCATCAACAGCATCCCTGCCTACGTCTCCCGGTGCCGCTTTTTCCTGGCTCTTTGTCCTGTGGTCGACTGTCCCTGGGAAGACAAGGCTAGGCTGCCAGGGCCGTTCTAGGCTCCAGGGTTCACGGTTCACTACCTCATGTCTCACATGAGGTGACCAAACGCATCCCTAGGGTTCTACCCTAAACCCTAAACCCTAAACCCTAAACCCTAAACCCTAAACCCTAAACCCTAAACCCTAAACCCTAAACCCTAAACCCTAAACCCTAAACCCTGAACCCTAAACCCTAAACCCTAAACCCTAAACCCTAAACCCTAAACCCACAAACCCTAAACCCTAAACCCTAAACCCTAAACCCTAAACCCGAAACCCTAGCGGCAAAGCGTCAGGTGCTTTCAGCTGCCAGCTGGAGCCGGCGTGGGTGGTGTCGTGTGCCTGGAGACACAATCTGAAATGCTTTGTAGGGTTTGTTGCTTGGGGGTTTAGGGTTTAGGGTTTAGGGTTTAGGGTTTAGGGTGCACGCCTCTCCTTTTGTTCCGTGGGGCTAGGACCTGTCAGCCTTTCTAGAACTCAGGTTCCCTTACGCAGCTAGGTGCCGCTGCTTGATGGCCCGTCACAGCCCACAAAACGCAAAAAGGAAACCCAGCATCACCTGCCATGTCCATGTCGCTCATGCACTTCCTATGTGGGGTAGAAACCTAGTGGTTGACCTAGGTGGAGCGGGCTGCACGTGAGCTGTCTCGTGACAGCTCCTGGATTTTGATCCAGAGTGAGACCTCCATGGAACTGGTTGGCACGGCGATTTCTTTTGGCAGCGGATGCGTTGGAGAAGGAGAGTTTTCTTTTTCGGAAGACCGCCAAAAGTTGGCCCCGGTGATGCGAAGCATCGTGCAGGAGAAGCTGAGACACTGCCTGCGCTCGGGCGACTTGGCTGCATTCCGGCGCCACTTCAACCTGCAGAGCGTGCACCTTCGGGGCCTGGAGATCGAGCCCGTCGTCTTGCTGCCCAGGGACCCCAGGGACTCGGACTCTGCAACGGACTTCTTGCTGCAGAATGGCCTCCGCAAGCCTTGCGAAGCTGACAGGGCGGGCTGGTCCCCGCTGCACTACGCAGCCTTGGCCGGGGACTCCCTGGTCTGCAGGAGCTTGTTGGACCGAGGCGTAAACGTGAACAGGCGCACTCCGAGGGATGAGCCTGCTTTGGGCTTCCCTCCCTGGATGTCGGCGCTGGACCTGGCACTCTTCTTCAAGCACCACGAGGCCGCCAAGCTGCTCCTGACAGCCAGGGCCCAGGTTCAAGGTGGATTCCTGTCTGCCATGAATTGGGCGGCCCAGTCAGACAGCGTTGAGGGCGTGCGAATGGTGTGTGCAGCAGGTGGCAGTCCCCTTGCCCCGAACCTGATTGGCACCACGCCCGTAGCTATTGCAGCTGGCTGCGGGGCACGGGAAGCGCTGAACGAACTGGTGGCGCAGGGCTGCCCGGATGGGCTGCAGCTGTCCCGGGCACTCCACGCCGCCGCAGGTCTTCGGGGCGGTTCTGCGGAGCTGGTCCAGCACCTGGCGGGCCTAAGGGCTGACCTCGACTTTCAGTGGAGTCTTCAGCGTGACTTAAGCCGAGTGGGCCGCCTGATCTTCGCGGTGAAGTCCTTGCAGCACAGGCTCGGGAAGCCTTCCCTCTTCACAGCTTTTGCCTACCATATGCACGGCAGCACGCCACTGATGCAGGCCTTCCGCACCGGTCAGCATGAGGCCGCAGCCGCCCTAATTGCAGCCGGCGCCAACCTGGAGATCAGAAACTTCCGCAACTGGACAGCAGGCGACTTTGCCAAGGGAGGGTCCATCCCAACCTACTTGCGCAAAGGCCTTGATGGAGATCCCGCTGGGTGCCGGGCGGTCGCTTCTCTGGCTCTTGCCGAGGATCACGGCCTCATCTCCATGTCACTTTAGTTGATTGCAGTGGCGGCTTTCCACAGTTTCCTGTTTGTACAGATAAGGCACAGAGTATCCTGCAGTCCATGTCAGTTAATTTTGCAAGCTTGCATAATGCAAACTGTGTCAGGTTTGTTTGTCAAGCATCTGGGGAGCAGTTGCTTTACAAACTGACGCAAACCTTTACTAGGTGCATCGTCTGCAAGGTGTCCTGAGTATCACCTGCGAACGTGTGATTTATTTCCCGCTGTCGCTGGGATGCCAAGACGCGTGCGAAAGGAAGCGGTCGCATGCAGCATTGACCGACTTTCAGAGGGAGCGTAATGCAAGAGTTGGTTGACATGGCAGAGCGACTTAGTACGCTGCTGTTATGTGGAGCTGCTGACTTCCTGGCCCTCAGAGTATGTCTGAAACCCTCAACCCTAAACCGTACTGAACCCTGGACCTTAAACCCGAAACCCGAAACCCGAAACGCAGGCGTTCGGTGCTCATCGGGTCTCCCCCCACCATAGAATGCCAGTCTCGCCTCCCGCCGAGATAATGCCCTCTCCTCCAGTCGAGATGGAAGCAGCCCCTTGGTCCGTCGAGGGCCCATGTTTTGCAGTGCTTCAGGATAGACGCGCCAGCCTGGATGCTTCTGAAGTATGTGTATGTGTATGTGTATACATTACATGCAATAGATATATTTTCATTATGTGCATGTATATGTATATGTACATGTATATGTATGTGTATGTGTATGTGTATGTGTATATGCATATGTATATGTGTATGTGTATGTATATGTACATGTAGATGTATATGTAGATGTAGATGTAGATGTATATGCATATGCATATGTATATGTAGATGTATATGTATACATTTTTTATATGTATTATATGTATATATATATATGTATATGTATATAGATGTATACACATATCTGGTAGCACACCCCCGCTTCTACCGGACAAGTTTACACGCATTATATTTTTTCTGTGTTTTTCGCAGCTGTGTAACGGATCGCACTTAGGGAGGTGGTTTACAGAACAGGCATATAGAAAGCCGGCACATGCACAGAAGATGTAATTCTTCAAAGTGATCACGATGCAGGAATGTTTACTGGCAGCCTTGAAATCTGCATGGACTGGAAGGGCACTTGGGAAGAGAGTAAATCCGAGGCTAACTTCGTCGTTGTGCATGTTTTGTGAATAGTTAGATTTCATTGAATCAACGCAAAAATAGGCTGGTAACGAGTAAACTTGTAGCGCTATATTTGGAACAGCTATATACTCGTGCCCCAAGCTTAAAAGATGTAAATAAGCAAAAATCTCGGGCTGATTAGTATTCTTGGAGGCCGGCTACAGTTCTTAGAATACACGAATGTTCGTGCAAGGCCAAGGTGTATGGAAAGAATATGAAGGACGCTTTACATTTTCATTCGCAGCCCCAACTCTACGACTTAAAGCTCAGGGGCCTAGCAAGAGTATATGCAGTTTAGCCAGTACAATTTGACCTCCAATAAACAATTACGTTTTTTGCAGGTTTAACTTGAGGGAACTAATACGACTGAGCGTATTGTTGCTAAGCTTACGACTAAAGTTTTGAGAGTACACGAATACTCGTTCAAGGCAAACATCTTAATTCGTAGCCCGAACTCCAGTACAAACTGACCTCCAACAAGCAATTACGTTCTTTGCAGGTTTAGCTCGAGGGAACGAATGTGATTGAGCGTATTGACGTATTGTTGTTAAGCTTATATACCTCGTTCAAAATGGATGCAACTCATTGTTCTTAGCAAGGAGCCATTTGTTTTTAAAAACGAATTTCGCAAAAGTAATCCCTCAATGCTATGAGCTCAAACCACACATGCTGTTTCATATCCACATCCACACGAATTGCACTGCGTGCTCGTCTTAAAACTTGTAGAAGAGTTCATTGAATCACCTGCGTTACGCTTTCCAGGTTACAATTGGAGGTCAAATATCAGACATCGAACCTTGCGAGTTCAGTGGCCGGGCATATTGGAACAGAATGGGGACAGCTACTGGGACAAGTTGGCGCGCCACATGATTATCGAATTATTGTAGCCAGGGGGCCTACTTCTTGTTTTGCAGCAAGGGGCTACGGATATCTGTGAAGTCGAAACCACATATGGGTTTCTTTAGTCATGAACAGAACTTATGGAGTATACCTGCTTAGCAAGACCTCCCATGTATGACATGTACATACCTGAATGGGATTGATTCAGTACTTGGAGACCAACTCTAGCTCTTTAGAAAGTATACTGTTCAGCCGCGCCTCCCTTGATATGTAGTCGTAACCCTGACCCCAACCCTAAGATTTTGAACTAAATTAGCCGGGTATAGTGATGGAAGTAGTTAAGATGAAGAAGTTCTACTGACTAAGTTGGTATATGAAGACTATTCAAGCTAGAGGCCATGGGCCAGTTCGAATGCCATGCACTTGTGCCACAGACGATGTATTCACATATAACGTTTGGCAACTTCATCATCTCGTTTGCACACTGTTCTCAGACAAAACCACGCTTCGTCAGCACCTGTAGAATTTCAGGCATAGACACCAAAATAAGGTAGACAACAGAGGGGCACGTAGAGTGTATTTTTATATGTAGTCACAAAAAGCTAAGTCCTTGGGGGTAGCTTGTTTGTCTATATCTCTATATAGACCCTGTACTTTTTCTTTCGCTATAGGCTTTGAACCAGCACGCAAACCCTGTTTGTATGCATGCATTCTGTTTATAGCGTGTGTGTGTGTGTGTGTGTGTGTGTGTGTGTGTGTGTGTGTGTGTGTGTGTGTGTGTGTGTGTGTGTGTGTGTGTGTGTGTGTGTGTGTGTGTCTGTCTGTCTGTCTGTCTGCCTGCCTGCCTGCCTGCCTGCCAGCCTGCCTGCCTGCCGGTGTCTGTCTGCCTGCCTGCCTGCCTGCCTGCCTGCCTGCCTGCCTGTCTGCGCGCGCGTGCGAGCGTGGGTGCGTGCGGATGGGTGGGCGGTAGAAGAACAGTTCGGAGGGCTGCAGGCTAGTTGGTTGGTCTGGAGAATGCGGTGAATGACGGTCAGAGGCGGAATGATGTGCATGGGAGGTCGTGCTGTATTCCTGGAATAGGCATAGGTTGTCCAAGCCACCGGGGCCCGTTCCTTGCCAAAGGGAGCAAGCTGGAGCAAGAGGTTGCTGGCGCCTAAGGCACCCGAGAAGTCTGAGCAGGAGGGCGTCTTCTTAACGCGGGTTGCAGATTTCTTGCCCCAGCGGAAGGTGGCGAGGACTGGGAATCCGAAGACTCCAGACGGAGCCTTGCTCGGCTATCGGCTATCAATCTTTCATCCTCTGTTTGCACGTGCGAGCTGTTCAAGTTTCTAAAACCCTAAACCATAAACCCTAAACCCTAAACCCTAAACCCTAAACCCTAACCCCTAAACCCTAAACGCTAAACCCTAAACCCTAACCCCTAAACCCTAAACCCTAAACCCTAAACCCTAAACCCTAAACCCCTAACCCCTAACCCCTAACCCCTAACCCCTAACCCCTCAACCCTAAACCCTAAACCCTAAACCCTAAACCCTAAAACCCCTAACCCCTAACGCCTAACCCCTAACCCCTAAACCCTAAACTCTAAACCCTAAACCCTACACCCTAAACCCTAAACCCTAAACCCAAAACCCTAAACCCTAAACCCTAAACCCCTAAAACCCTGAACCCTAAACCCTAAACCCTAAACCCTAACTACGCAGTCTGCGAAGGCTTCGTCGCTTCTTGGCTCTCTTTGTTCACCGGGCGCTTCCTGGTGTTGAACGACAACATCATCATGGAGGATAAGGGTGTGTCCACCGCAGCCAGAGACAACTTGGTCAACGAATGCACCAACATGGGCCCCTTGGCAAAGGCAGCGGGCAGCGTTAAGAAGGTGTCATCCCCTCCCCCTGATATTAAACCCCCCTACCCCCTGATATGCTTCCCAAAACTCAGAGGGTTTTGCAGACACAGATTCCGAGGTCTGATCAGCGCCCTGCTGATGACTGTTGTGGTACCCATGGCCTATGACAACGTGGACGACTGGTTGGAGGAGGACTATGCTGGAAGCGGTTTCGCCTTTCAAGATAGCTGGATCGGGCAGCAGCTGAGTGAAAGTGCCTTGCAAGAGGCAGTGACTGGCTTCCATGACATGAGCCTCATATGCTACTTCGTGGGCTCCGTTGGCTACCTTTGTTCCCGGGTCATCGTTGGAAATCATGTTTACATGTCCATGAATACCTAAACCCAACAAGGAACTAAATGCGATGATTTTTAAGTAGTGCCCCAACAACGGTGCAGGCTCGACCATCGTCACGGTGATCCTCTTGCTGTGCATCGGGGAGATCGAGTCCGATGCCGGGTCCGTCGAGTTCCTCCGGCGCGTTGGCAGCGGCACCCGCGTCCCGTTCCTTGGAGCCTCCGTTTTGGCTGTTTAGCACCCCCCCCCCCCCTCCCCAACTCATTACCCTTTAAGATACCCCTTTGAGACCGGCTATACATTGCACGGTGTGACTCTTGAACCTTGGGCCGTTAGGGTTTAGGGCTTATAGGGTGTAGGGTTTAGGGTGTAGCGTTTAGGGCTTAGGGCTTAGTGTTTCATGGTTACACTCTTCTAGCTTCAACATGAGGCCACTAGGCTCAGGCCTGTGCCTCATGGTTGCCTGACTGCCTGAGGTATTTGTTCTGGTGGAATGGCGTTGTTTTTGTAATCCCCGCTGTGATCCGGTATGTTTGCTCCTGCAAGACCCTTGGTGGACTCATCACTCTGATCCTTTGCATCCTGATACTGGCCGCCTTGATCTTGCTGTCCCTAAATCACTATGCGCCTTGACGGAGTTGGGCATAACCCTTAAACCCCAAACCCTGAACCCTAAACCCTGACTCCATAAGCTGTCTCAACTGCTGGTTGATGGCCGTCTTCACGCTCAAGCTTCATGGAGGTTTGGTTCGCTGGGTTTCGTGTGTTGAGGGAGGCTTTGCAGAGTAATCTCTTCGGGCTTGCTTGTCCCTTTTACTGCTCTCCCTCTTCTCTCCCAACGATCCTTCTTACTTACATTCTTGGCTTGCTGTCAGGGTTATTGCTGGCCGGGCTCCTCTTCTGTCGCTTCGCATTGCAGCCCCCGGGTCAACCTTCCAACTCTGTGAGGCCACCTGGCCTTGTGCATCCCAGGCTTGCAGCGTACCTGCACGCAAGGCACTGACATTCCTTCCGTGGGTTTTCTGACTTCGTACTTAGGAGGGCTCGAGGTTTCTTTTCGGGGTCCATTGTCGGAAGCCACTGCCCAGCCACTTGCAGGGGAATCAAACTGGGCCCACTGGAGCTCAGCCTGCGTTGCCTGCGAGCTTTTCAGTCAGGCTTTCTCTTGCCTGGTCCGTCGTCCCCTTTGGCATTCTCCAGCTTCTTTCAGGCGTCAAGTGCCAGCGGTGTCGCTCAAGCCAGCTCCTTTGCATTGGGCCCCGCCCCTAATCCCCTAAGGTTCGCTAGCCCCTCTTTTCCCCTTAGGTTGGGTTATCCCGTGTCTCTGCGATCTGGCCGCTCAACTTCAACATATCCCTTGCAGGCCTCCGGGCCCCGAGCCTCTCCCTCGCGTGGGGATCTGGCTGCATTGGGTCACACCCCCTAGCACCCTAGGGTTTAGTCCCTCTACCCCCTTAGTTTGGGTTGTCCCGTGTCTTCTGCCAGCCGGCGGTTCTTTCTGCATATCCCTTGCAGGCCTCCGGGCCCCGAGCCTCCTCTCGCTTTGGGATTCGGCTGCATTGGGTCACACCTCTAGCACCCTAGGGTTTAGTCCCTCGACTCCCCCTAGTTCAGGTTGTCCCGTCTTTGTGCCGTACCCCTTGCAGGCCTCCGGGCCACGAGCTTCCCCCGCGTGGGGCCTTGGCTGTGTCCTTCCCTGCCGCAGCTCGGCCTTGCCTGGGTCTGCAAATTTGAGTGGGCAAGATAGGGTCCTTTGCACCTGGACAGCTTTTGCTAGCGTTGTGCGGTCTCCTCTGCCTTCACCTTTCCACGCAACCGGGCCTGAGAACTGAGAACCATGGAGCAGCTGGCTCCTTTCTCAGATGTTCCCGCCCTTCTGTGCTACGAGCATCCTGTGGAAGATGGCATTTTGGAATGTGCGGCCATCGTTCTTCTCCCCTCCGTCCATCAGGTCCCTGGAAGCCAAGTGTCAGTCCTGATCGTGGACATGGGAGCCCCTGCTGCCCCTCGCTTGTCAGCGTTGGTCGAAAGAGCCGAGCCCGAGTTGCTTGTACCTTTCGATTCAGCTCAGCCTCATCTAGTGCCGGACCCGAGTGTCATGCTAGCTCGGGCTTTAGATTGGGCCCAAGGTCTGGAGTCAGCCCAGGATCGCCTTGCTTTCTACTCTGCTGCCGAGGAAGACCCGAAGCCGACCCCTGCCCCAAAAAGGGCCACCCTTCGGTTGGACAGACCACCCGCGGGCATAGGAGCTCTGCCAGGGGCCGGGCTCTCGGATATGCCTACCGCATCGCAGCCAGCAAAGCCAAAAAGACCCACCACCTCTGCCTTAGCTTCCCAATTGGAGATCCTCACTCAAACCTTGCCGGCTCTCACAAGCCGCCTAGCGTCTTTGGAGCAGCAGGTCTCGGCAGGAGCTGCAGCGTCTTTGGCTGCTCCGTTGGCCGCGGAGCCCCCCTTGCCAACTCAGGCCCTAGGCGCGACGCCCAAGCTTGCTTTGCCACCGAGGCCGAAAGGCCTCCTTGCCTCCTTGGGCCCGCCTCCTGGAACCAGACCTTTGCAGATGCAGACTGCCAGCATGGAACCGTCAGGTCAGCTTCAGGCCGAGCTCGAAGAGCTGGAGGCCGAAACTCAAGCAGCAATTCCGGAAAGCTCCTTGGCTCAGGCGGTCTTAGAGCAGTCTCGAGCCTTGACGGCTCTCGTAGGGCAGCTTGCTCAGGGGTCCGACCCCATGCTAGACCTGGGCCAGAGTTCTGTCAGCACGCGAGGCAAGGGTAAGGCTTCAGGAAGAGTTAGCTTCGGGTCGTGGGTTGTTTTTCCAGGGTGTGTTGGTAAACATGAGCCGAAGAATGCTTCCATCCATGTCCCCCGAGACAGACCCTCAGGCCCTTCTTCGCAGCGGGGTTTGTCTGTCCCGCTACTTCGAAAGGTTTGGGGGTTGGGGGGGTCAAAGGGATGCCGCGCTAATTGCACATCAGGTTGCCCACATCATGGACGCTTTCCAGGCAGGGAGGACAGAGCTGGCCCAGGATCACACAGCCCTGCTGGCGGTGTTCATGGAACAGCTCATGATGGACGGGGGTCGGGGCGAGTTGGCTTACCACCTGACCCTCCTGGAGGAACCCCCCTCCTCAATGTACATCCCGCGGCAGCCCTCGGGCATGCTCAGGACCAGAACGTTTACACCTTTAGCAAGCCAAAGGTGGGTGACCGTTACTCTCAGCTTTCTTCGGGAAATGGAGACAATTCAAAATCGTCGCAGCGAAATCGCAAAGCCCGCTTCGAAGGCTTCGGCTCATGGATCCGAGGGCACTGCAGGGGAAACCGTCGAGGGGAACAAGCCAAAGAAAAAGCCAAAGAAAAAGCCTCAGCCTCACGTAACGTGACCGAGCCAGGGCTTTGTGTCTCTCCCTCCTCTAGACAGCTGCCAGGGCCATCTCCCAAGAAAGGCCCCCTCTTGCATGGGTGTGCTGGCGCCAAGTTTGAAGGCCTGCCTGAAACGCCTCCTGTCGCAAACGTTGCACGTGAACTTGCCACCACGATTACCGCAGACCTTTGGGTTGCTTCGCTGCCTAGATGGCTAGCAAAATCCCGTACTTCTTTTGGTGCCTTTGTGTGTGCCAACCTTTTGCCCTTCTGCCGGCGGGGTCCCAAGTGCCCGCCTTCCGCAACCTTCCCATTGCCCATCCCCTATGAGGATGTCTTCCAAGGCAGTGGCCCGCGACTAAGCAAGGCAAGGTGGGCTCAACTCAGACGTCGGAGGCTTGTCAATGTACTTGTCCTGGCCCTGAACTATCTTCACGGCTTTGCCTGGGTCCCCTGTGACCTTCTGCGGAGGTTTCCAAACGGCCACCAGAGCCTGGTCTACGATAGACTCTGGAAATTTGTGGTTGCGTGTGATGCTCGGCCTGACAAGGTTCCCTTGCCACCCGGGCGTTCGGGGCCAGATCTTCTGGCCAGGCTCTGCGAATTGGAGGCCTTTGCCTCTCTTGCTTGTGGTGCTGACGGTAAAGGCTATGCGAAGAACGTGCCTTCTGTCCCCGTGCCTCGTGTTGAAGCATCGTCCGAGCTCCCCCAGCTTCAGCCCTACAGGGCCCTTGACCCCAGTCGACTCAAGCTTTCTGGCCGGGGGAAATGGGACTTGGCGGCCTACTTAGAGGGCCCTTTGTGGCTCCCCTATGTCGAACCCTTGGTTTTAAGACATGGCAAACCAATGAGCTCTGACAATGTGCCTTCCTTTGCCCACGAGGTACGTGATGATGTGCTTGGACTTGCGAAGCTGTGGGATGCCCAGTCCCTCCTTCACCTACGTCGGGGTGAGGTCGACCCCCAAGTCCAGTCCCGTGTCTTCAACTGTTACAAGAATCCCGAGAAGGATCGCCAAATTGGTGACAGAAGGCTGGTTAACAAATCCGAGATGCATCTGGCCGGACCTTCGGCCTTCCTTCCTGCTGCATCCCTGTTGTCTGCCCTTTCAGTGCCCCGCTTCACTCACCACTGCAAGGCCTTCATAAGTGACAGGAAAGACTTCTATCACCAGGCCAAGGTTTCTGATGCTAGGGCTGCCAGCAACGCTTTGTGTTTCGCCTTTCAGGGTTCCGAACTTCAGGGTACACGCGCTTTTAATGAGCTTTGGGAGGGTGAGCCTTCGCATCTGCGTCCTCTCTTGCTGGATACTTCCTTCGTGCCCTGCTTCAAGTCTCTGTACCAGGGAGACCACTTAGGGGTAGAATACGCTCTGGAAGCGCATGGTTGTTTCCTTGAACAAGCAGGCTTGCTCGCCCCAGCAAGCAGGTTGCTTGGAAAGGGTCCGTTGCCTTTTGGCCCCACTTGGCAGGCTCTTTTCATCGACGACCTCGTTGGCATTTCCGTTGAGCCTCGGGCTGCCCCTCGGAGGCTTGTGCGAGGCAGAGAGGCTTCATCGAATTGCTTGCGAGGCTTACTCCAAAGGTGAGGTCTTAGGTTCGGAGGAGAAGGACATCCTTGGTGAGAGCCTCTTCCAGGCCATCGGAGCAGAGGTGTGCTCTGATGAAAGGGCCGTTCGGACAGGCCTTGTAACTGCCTCTGCTCCTTTCTCCAGACGCCTCTCAGTCGCTACCCTGAGTCTACGGGCTGCCAGCCTCCGTGTCACGACGCCAAATCTGATTGCAAAGCTTGTGGGTTCCTGGGTCTCCATTGCCCTTTTCAGGAGAGCAGCCATGGTCGTGTTCTCAAAGGTCTTTGGCCTCTCAAGAGCTGCTGCAAACGACAGCCGGACCAGCTCGGTCGCCAAACCTCTGCCTAGAGCTGTCAGCCAAGAGCTGGCGCTAGCTAGCGTCTTGATGCCACTCATGTCCGTTGATTTGGGCGCTTCCTTTGCTCCGGCTCTCTTTGCCACAGATGCGTCCTTATCTAAAGGAGCTGCCTGTGAGACCGCTATTGACCCCGGGCTCTCCAGGGTTCTCTGGGAGAGCTGTGACCGCGGAGGCCTTCATGTGCATTTGGACTCGCCTGCAAGGGCCCTGCTCAAGTGTGCTGGTGACAACATCGAGGACGAGGGGCCCGTCTCCGGTCCCGGCCCGACCACCTGTCAGCCCTCTTTTGTTCCTTTCCTCTTCGACCTGGTGCTCATCGGCAATGTCCCTGCATCTTTCGCTGAAGCCTGCTCCTTGAAAGGTCTGGTCTGCAGTCCAGTTCTGAACTCTCAGATCTCCCCTCACTTTGACTACACTCAACCCGCCTTCGGAGCCTGATTCCATGATAAGAGAGGGAAGAGTCAAAGGGCTTGCCCTTTTTCCCCCTGTTGGGACCTTTTCCGCTGCCTTCCGGCCCAGGGTTCGCAGTTATAAGGCTCCACTAGGGTTTAGGGGAACTCTTCTTGATAGTCGGGTCAAAAAGAGAAATCTAGCCCTCCTCCGCTGCCTGCTCTTTCTGAGCTTTGCTCTTAAGGCTGGCCTGCCTGCCGTCCTGACTGTGCCAAAAGCGTCTTTTGCCTCCAGGGTTGCTCCTTGGAGGAGCCTGCGGGGGAAGCCTGGCTGTGGGGAAATCCTCCTGAATAGCTGCTGCGCTTTGGAGCCTCTTCCCTCCGGCCCCTTAGGCTGCTTGTTTGCCACTTTAGCTTCGGACCGTCCGCAGGGGACTGTCTCTGCAAGCCCAGGCTCTTTGAGGGACCGATCCTTGGGGATCCTTCGCTGCCTTTGTGTAAGGGCCTCTCCCTCGCACTGGCGTCTGCTTTTAGGGGGGTCATAGACTGCTCTTCCCGGTCTCCACAAGGGTTTGGTCAGTGACTTTGGCTTTCCGCTGGCACTCCAACTCACATATAAATGTGCTTGAGCTTGCTGCTCTCGGGGCCCTGGTCAGGCTCATAGCCATCCGATACCCTGACTCACGAGTTGTCGTCCTGATAGACTCCCAGGTTGCAAAGCATTCTGCCGCAAGGGGCCGATCCACATCTTGGGCCCTGACTCCTGGACTGCGCAGGCTTGCTGCGCTGGCTCTTGCCTTTGGTCTGCAGCTCTGTTTTGCCTTTGCTCCGACTCGTTTAAATGTAGCCGACGCCCCTACCAGGAACTCAGTCTTGCCCCGTGCCTCCGGCCTGGCCCTGTGTGAAAGTCTGCCTGCCGCAGTTCTTCATCGCATAGGGGCCCTCCGCTTCCGTAGGCCCCTTGCCTCTTGGGCTCGGCTGTTCCTTGTCTCCAGGTTAAAAGAGGGGAGTTGCCCCAGACTTGCTGAGTGGTTGGCCGGCCATTTTGCAGAGCACCTTCCCGACAAACCTGGGGGCTACTTTCGGGAGTTTGACAGCACTCTCGGATACCCAGGTGAGGGCCCTCTTTGCAGTGTTTGCCCTCGTCCCCGCCGTCACCACTTGCCTTCAGGCTGCCCGTGCTTTCGAGCTCGTGAGGCCAGCAGTGCCTCATTTGGGTTTTTGGCCTTTTTCTCCTTTTGTGTTCCTTTGAAACGAGCCTCATTCTTTCTTCCAGCCTTGTGCTTTGCAGGCCTCTGCTTCGTCTTGGCCTGCCTTTGCACGCTCAACATACCAGTTTATGCGCCTTTGCCTTTGCCCCTCCAGCCCATTCTGCGTTCCTCTTCCGCCCAGCGTGTCTCTGCCTGCAAATGTGGCTCCTGGACCGTGCCAGTTGAGCGCTGTTTCATTCTCAGCCCTCTTTGCACCTCTTCCCTTCCTGACTCCTTCCCTTCTCCCCTTCGGCCTCCCCTGCCTTTCGATCCCACTCTGGGTTTCCCTGGTGAAGGGTGGTTCAGGGTGTTCGGGGTCTTCTGGGTGTTGTTTCGAGCCATGGCAGTCCCTGCCCCTTCGACTCCTGCAGAGCACCTTAGGGCTGCGAAGCGAGGCCCTCTTTTACTGGTGGCAGATCGAGTTGTGAGGCCAGCTACCAGAACCAACAGGGCTAAGCTGCTGAAGGCTTTTGATGAGTGGCTTGGAGAAGTTCGAGGGCAGTGCGTCGAGAGTCTGATTGCTCCTGGGACATGCTCTCTTTAAAGCTGGCTTCCCCTACTATAAGTACAGCGAGACTATAAATGCTGTGGTTGGCTTAAAGCCTTCACTTCGAAAGAACATCAGCTACGCCTGGGATCTTGCCTTCGCCTGGATGTCAGAGGAGCCTCATGTTCATCATCGGGCCTTACCGAAAGGGATCCTCTTGGCCCTGCTTTCCTTGGCTTTGGCTTGGGGTTGGGTGGATGAAGCTGCACTGTTCGCCTTGTCCTGGTGCGGACTGCTTAGAATCGGCGAGGCCGTCAACGCAGAGCGCCGAGATCTGGTTCTACCTCACAATGCGGCGCCTGGCACTCTGTTTGCGCTTTTGGCTATTCGTTCTCCCAAAACGCGAGGCCGCGCAGCAAGGCACCAGTCTGTTCGCATCGACCCTCCTGATGTTATTCAGCTCTTGACTTTGGCTTTCGATGGCAGAGCTCCTCATGAAAAGCTGTGGTGCTCTTCGACAGAGACTCTGAGACGACGGCTCCGAGCCCTTTTGGCTCGCTTGCATCTCTTCGAGGGGCCCAAGCCCTTGTTTGACTTAAGCTCTTTCAGGCCTGGAGGTGCAACCTGGATGTTGCAAACCACAGAAAACAGCGAGTTGGTGCGCAGGCGTGGCCGTTGGATGTCGTCCCGCGTGATGGACATATACCTGCAGGAAGTTGTGGCTACCACTTTCCTTCCTTCACTGGTTCCTGAGTTGAGGGCTGCTCTGGAGGCTTTGGCCGCAAATTTTGCAGTTTATTTGCAATGGGCTGTTTACTTGGATGCCTGCCGCATCCCCAGACGGGCTTGGTATTATCTGCTGTCAGCCGAAACCGATAGCTTTCGCGTGGATGTAGTGGGATGACTGCTTTTGCGAGGTGGTTGTGCTGACTTCTGCTGTTGGGTGGCTTTTCAGTTGGACTGGGCCACACTTTCAGCTGGAGCTTTTGGTGTTTAAACTGGTGCAGGCTTTGGCAACCTGCCCCGACGACTACCTCGCAGAACGCAGTGGGCAAAAAGACTGTCGAGACCCTGCTTTTGTGACTGCTTGACTCCATAAGCTGTCTCAACTGCTGGTTGATGGCCGTCTTCACGCTCAAGCTTCCCGCCCTCCCGCCCGTATCGGCTGACTTCTGCTGTTGGGTGGCTTTTCAGTTGGACTGGGCCACACTTTCAGCTGGAGCTTTTGGTGTTTAAACTGGTGCAGGCTTTGGCACCCTGCCCCGACGACTACCTCGCAGAACGCAGTGGGCAAAAAGACTGTCGAGACCCTGCTTTTGTGACTGCTTAAACCTAAACCATGGAAAGTTATCTTGTTGGTGTGGAGGCCTCTAAGCGCAGCTGCTCCAAGTCGATGGCTTTGGAACCAGTGCGAGTTTCCTGCTACGCTGGACTATCTTGTAAACTGACGCAATCCCCTCCCCTGCATTATACCATATACTAGAATATAACTTGAATGGGAGTACTCTAAAATTCGGGGGTAGGGGGGGGTTTTAATATTAAGGGGAGTGGGATCACTAGAATAGAAGATGACAGATTGCAAGCTGATGTCTCGCCCGTCCCTGAGGTGCGTTGTTGCATGAGCACGCACAACTGCATCAACGAGTACGAGGCCCCGCTGCTGAACAGCTCCATGCCGGTTCAGGTCATTGAAGTCGACATTTGGGGGTTTACGAAGATAGGGGACCCCTAATATACACCTTTCAAAGAGTAGGATTCCCTTATTTTAAGGACCCGAAAAAGGTACCCCTAATTTCGGAGGCTCCCATGCCCATTTCATGTTCCGGAGATTCCCAGTGCATGACGACCCATGGCAGGACCTGCATCTCTCACAGAGTGAAGCAGAAGAGGATGTGAGCACCTGGTTCAAGCACAACAAGGGAGGTGGCTTGGAGGATTGCTTGCAGGATATGGCCGTCCGCCATGGCAAGCTCGTCATCTGCTTGGATCGGATTTCTCAGCAGCATGTGGCGATGTACTTCCACAAAAGGCAGGCTGAGAGTGTGGGAATTCCGCTGACGCCAGCCGAGCTCTACCGAGTCTCATACATGTAAGTCAGTAGCGTGAAGGTGCGTTCGGCCTTCCCGCCAATAAATTCACAATTCGCACTGCACTTGATCTTTTTTGGGGCACTTGCTCCCCAACGCAGGAATGTCCAAGAGTGACTCCTGTATTCCCTTCCTCCGAGATCTGCCTGGCCATGAGAGAAACGAAGCATCACCCGTGTAGGGACGTGCATGCGACACGCTGTTGCGGATGCTCCGGCAAAGTGGCGCCGTTCGGCATTGGTTCTTGCTTCCCAAGATAGGGAGCAAAGTCTCCTCCAGTTCATGTATGTTAGTTGGGTTTAGGGTTTAGGGTTTAGGGTGTGTCAGGTTTGTTTGTCAAGCCTCTGGGGAGCAGCGAACCTTCGCTAGGTGTATCGTTTGCAAGGTGTCCGAAGCATCACCTGCGAACGTGTGATTTATTTCCTGCCGTCGTGGGGATCCCAAGATGCGAGCGAAAGGGAGCGATCGCAGGCAGCATTGACCGGCTTTCAGAGAGAGGGTAATGCAAGAGTTGGTTGACGTTGCAGAGCCACTTCTATTGTGGTGTTATGTGGCCCTCACAGTGACGTGGGGAAGAATACACAGAACGAAATGCGCGCGAATACACAGTGTCGACACATTTAGAAGACGCGTGCAGGCTCCTAAGGCAACATATGATGCGCCGCGCAGGTGCGTGGAGTGCGTGGAGCATGGGGCAAGGTGATGTCTTGCAAGCCCATGGTTTGGTGGAGGGGTTCTGCTTGGTCGTTGCTTTGCTTTGGGAAGTGGGGTGGGCCCGACGTCGCTAAACCTAGGCTTCCTGTAACTTGCTTGAGTATGTTTACACTCTCTGAGACGTACTGTTGCTCACCTGCAAACTCGACCGGGATACCTCGCCTGGGCCCCTTGGCATCAAGGCCTTTGGTTTCATCTTGTGGTTACGCATGGGACCGGTGCCACGGCAAGCAGCCTACACAGCTGGCCTGAAAATGCTGTCCGAACAAGCAGAGGATTGCTCCGAAAGCACAAGCCCTAAACCCTAAACCCTTAACCCTTAACCCGAAACCCTAAACCCGAAACCCGAAACCCTAAACGCAGGCGTCCAGTGCTCATCGGGTCCATAGAATGCCCTCGCCTCCAGTCGAGATGGAAGCAGCCCCTTGGTCCGTCGAGGGCCCCATGTTTTGCAGTGCTTCAGGATAGATGCCCCAGCCTGGGGGCTTCTGAAGTATGTGCATATATATATATGGTTTTAATGAAGATATGTTTTTGCATATTGTATGTATGTATGTATGTACGTATGTATGTATGTCTGTATGTATGTATGTATGTATGTATGTATGTATATTTAAATACAGATGTATACATATATCTGGTAGCACACCCCCCCCCTACCGCACAAGCTTCCACGCATTGTGTTTTCACTGTGTTTTTGATAGCTGTGTATCGGATCGCACTGAGGGAGGTGGTTTCCAGAATAGGCAAAAAGAAAGCCGGCACATGCGCAGAAGATGTAATTCTTCAAGATGATCACGATGTAGGAATGTTTACTGGCAGTCTTGAAATCTCCATGGACTTGAAGAAGCTCCAGGATTTGACCTAGGTTTAGGGTTTCGGGTTTGGGGTTTAGGGACTGCTACAAAATGCCTAGATGCTCCAACAACTCAAGCTTTCATAGGTCCCAGATACTTTTTGCTTGTTTTTGTGCTTGGCACGTCTAAATCTTCGATTGTTTTGAGCATACCATGCAGGAAACCGTACATATATATATATATATATCTATATATATATATATATGTATCTTCATTCAGAAATCTTGATACTGGAGTATTGTGAACATTGCACTTACAAATCACAAAATGGTGGACGATGCTTGGCCTGCGAGGTCAAAACACTGAGTTCTTGCAAGTACATGCAGGTTCTAAGTTTTGCCAAGTGCAGGAAGCGTCCGTATGCTGGGACTCTTGAGCTTTTCGAGTTTATGCAGTTTCCCCGCGCCTTGTGTAGATAAACCCTAAACCCTAAACCCTCAGCCCTAAACCCTAAAGTCATTGAGTTTTGAGTACATGCCGATTTCCTGCATGTGGGGTGCAGAAGACACAGCCCCACGGTAGGCACGTGAGGGGCCCGAGGAATTTCAGCCTCCTGAAACCTTTGAGGGTTTAGGGTTTAGGGTTTAGGGATTCTGGGTCTTCTTCGACTATAGCCAGGAAGTGAGACGTTTGCCAAGAGTGCTCTGTTTTCACTGTACTCCCACTACAAACTCCGTTTCGGAGATGTGAACCTCTGAGGTTTTGCGACATGGTGTGTGAATTTGTTGCTACGCATACATGCATGTACGCATGTATGCGCATGCATGTATGTATATGAGTCTGTCTCTCTGTGTGTGTGTGTGTGTGTGTGCGTGGGTGGGTGTGTGTCACAAGCAGTTTGGGCGAGAAATTTTGAGTAGAGCAGAAGAGAAGATTAAAGAGAGTGGAAAATAAAGTATAGAAGAGTAGTAGCGGGGAGAAGAGTAGAAACAACTCGGTTGTCGTCAAGTTGATGACAGCTGTTTTCATTCTGACTCGTTGCGCATGTCCAAGACACCGGGGCCCGTTACTTGCCAAAGGGAGCAAGCTGGAGCAAGAGGTTGCTGGCGCCTAAGGCACCTGAGAAGTGCGAGCAGGAGGGCGTCTTCTTAACGCGGGTTGCAGATTTCTTGCCCCAGCGGAAGGTGGCGAGGACTGGGAATCCGAAGACTCCAGACGGAGCCTTGTTCGGCTATATCGACTATCAATCTTTCATTTTTTTGTTTGCAAGTGTGGGCTGTTCAAGATTCTAAACTTGAAGCGCTGCTTGGCAGTCCGCCAAAGGCTTCGCCGCTTCTTGGCTCTCTTTGCTGAGTGGACGCTTCCTGGTGTTGAGCGACAACATCGTCACGGAGGATAAGGGTTTGTCCACCGCAGCCAAAGACAACTTGGTGAATGAATGCACCAACATGGGCCCCTTGGCAATGGCAGCCAGGGGAGTGAAGAAGGTGTAATCCCCTCCCCCTAAATATTTGTGGAAATCCACCCTGCGTAGTCCCCGTGTAGAGACCGAGGTCGTATCCCCTCTCGAATTTCTGGCATCTTTTAACTTCGTTCCAACCGCAGGCGCCTTGAATCGATGCTGCCCGTAGTTAGGTAAGGGCAAGCCCCTGCGTTTCTTCCTTTCTCCAGTGAGCAATGGTTTCAAGGACCCGGAATAAATCGGCGGATCTTTCCTTATTCCTTTGCGACATTTCCCATTGCCTTAGGGACCTGATCTCTGTCTCTTTTGAATCTCTGCGCTACATTGGGACCGGGGAATGCCGCAAGCACTACGACCTCTTCGTCGTCCAGTGCCCCATTAGGCAACAGCGATGCGCTGTCTGAGAGTGCTTCCCCTTTTGTGGTGGTGAAGCAAATGTTGCCGTTTTAGTGGATGCAGTAGATGGGATTTCATCCATGGTTCTTTGCGATATGCCCATGGTGGACATCTACAAGGATAAGGGAATTTATGCCGTTCTAGACGAAGGCTGTAACAGTACCGTCCAGGGTGACGTGTGGGCCAGGCATGCAGAGGCTAAGCTTGAGTCCTTGGGATTTACCTCCAAGTTCGAAGCGAGCCCGCCTAAATGCTTTAAAGGTCTTTCGGGAAACGCCCGTACCCTGGAGTCAGGAGTCTTCCGTTTTCTTTGATTCCTCGGAAGGGAAGAGAATACCCGGAGTATTGGATTCGCGTGAGATCCTTGGAACAGCACCCTTATTGATGTCCTTACGCGCGCAAGCGAAGTTGTGTATGACCAAGATCATGCGTAAGGGCCAAGCCTACGTGAGCCTTCCCTCAGATCCCGAGCGCAGCTTGCGACTTGCGACTACAGCTGTTTAGGATGCACGATAGTGGTCTGTTGGCGGTTGAGACACGAGAAGCAACCCCTATGCATGAGGGAGTATAAGAAGGCTTCCCTGTTCTCCAACCCTGGAACTTGCCTTACAGGTGATTCCGTCACTACCATGCCCAAGGCATCAGCTACGAGTACCTTAGCACAGGCCACCGAGCCTGAACCGTCCTTGCCCCCTGCGATGGCAGGAGCGGCAAAGCAAAAAGCCCCGGGAACTCCGCTCCGATAGACCTTCTGCTACATTGATGGCTACGGCGAGACCTATGAGAGCTCGCTAGTGCCCCTCCCTGGCCAAGAGCTGGAGTGACGACACCGTCAAGAAAGCCCTTTTCAAGTTGAGTGGGTTCCAAGGAGCCCTGGCTGATGAAGGCCGGAGTGCTCGATATGATGAGGCTTCCAAATCCTGAGAAACAGGAAGAGGTTAGAGGCCACGTGGGATTTCACCAAGGTGTTCTGAAGCAGTTGTCATGCAACGAGATCTTCGTCCGACATGCAAGAGCTGCTGTTCGCGCGCCTCGGAAGAAGCGAGACAGTTGTCTCTGGATTGCTTTGGCAGTGGGTATTGACAGACAAGAATGAGCATCTCCTGGGAAAACCAGAGTACGAGCCCAAGTACAAAGCCCGACTGGTAGCGTGTGGCAACTTTGAGGAAATCGGCGATAGCGAAGACATTCGAGCCGATTCGCCCACAATTGAACCCGAGGGTTTATCTTTTCTGTGCTCATGGGCAGCTACAGAAAAAGTTGAGGCTAAAGGCTGGTGACATCACCAATGCCTACTTTCAGGGAAAACCCCTTGAGGCCCCCCAATACCTGAAAGGAGTACCTGATCGAGAGATCAACGAGTGTGGTTACATGATAGCCAGAGTGCCCGTCTATGGAACTTTTGACGCAGGCCGGAATCTTTATCTACGAATGTTGGATACGGCAAAGACGTCAGGTTGCATTCAGTCAAAGATTATCCCAGCCTTGTATTACGCCCTGACAGCACGGGTGAACTTTGCGCTGTGCTATGCACACATGTTGATGATCTTCTTTTCGTCTCGTGGTGAAGTACAGTCTCTTTTAGACGCCTTCAGGATCGGCAAGATCGAACAAGGTACATGGGGTTTTGTGGACGTGAGTATGTCCAAAGTGACGACTTCACAATTCGCGTCAACGCCAGCGATAGTACCCGAGCTATAATATATGGCCGATAGATATTCCCAAGGGAAAGAAGGGCACGGAACCTGTGACCCCAACACACAACGCACTGTGTTGCGATCAGTGGTTGGGAGTGTAGCGTGGGTCGCAAGAGTGGTGTATGCAGACCTCACATATCGAATGAATGCGCTGCAAGCGCAGGTAGATGCTTCTTGTGTTGGTGTAACAGGATACAAATCCCAGCGCGGCAGGATTCATTTTCTCACGACAGCAGCAGCAGCTCTGAGGAATCCCCCAGCAAATGGAATACCCTTACATTTGCTTAACTTCAGTTCGTCAACCGTGAAGCGAGTGTGCAGAGCTACCCTACAATGCGAAGCCTGCAGTGGACAACGATCCTAGATCTCTTCGGACGGCTTCCGACGTTGGAGGACTTCGATGAGATAGCAAGTCGATCATTGTTACATGGTCTACTATCAGATTCACTTGCTCAGTCCCGTACCGAAACAAGTTGAGGACAAGAGGTTTACAAAGTCCATACGCCGCTTTGTTGAACAAGGTCCGAGGTGAGAATCTTGCGAGACTGCAAAACCCAGCATCGAATGGTGAATTCCTCTCAAGCTGGACACCTTTCATTGACCACGATCGCGTGTGAGTTGATTTGTCTATTCTTCTTTCTTCTTTCGATAGTAGATTGGATACGACTCGGAGATAAGACGGGTGTGAAGTCCACCCCTCCCTATTTTCTAGTAACTTTTCATGTCGTTCCAACCGCATGCGCCTTGAATCAAAGCCGAAAAAATGGCTACGTCGTAAGGCCGCAGAAACCCAGTCTCAAAATATTGAATCGCCTACTCCCTAACGTGAAATCACCCCCCCCCCCCCCCCCCACCCCGTGCCACAATACTATAAGACAACTAGTGTGAGCTGCAACATGCGGGTTTTGCAGATGCAGATTCCGAGGTCTGATCAGCGCCCTGATGATGACCATTGTGGTACCCATGGCCTTTGAGAACGTGGACGACTGGTTGGAGGAGGACTACGCTGGAAGCGGTTTTGCCTTCCAAGATAGCTGGATCGGGCAGCAGCTGAGCGAAAGTGCCTTGCAAGAGGCAGTGACAGGCCTACACGACATGAGCCTCATATGCTATTTCGTGGGCTCCGTTGGCTACCTTTGTTCCTGGGCCATCGCTGCGTTTCATTTTACATTGCTATGAATACTTAAACCCAGCAAGGAACAAAGCGCGATGATTGTTAAAGTAGTACCTCAACAGCGGTGCAGGCTCGACCATCGTCACGGTGATCCTCTTGCTTTGCGTCGGGGAGATCGAATCCGATGCCGGGTCCATCGAGTTCCTCCGGCGCGTTGGCAGTGGCACGCGCGTTCCGCACCTTGGAACCTCTGTTTCGGCGCACCTGTTTGGCACCCCCCCCCACTCATTACCCTTTAAGAGATGCCTTTAAGAGACCACCTCAGAGGGGATATATGGCCCTCTTGAACCCTGGGAATGTGTTAGGGTTTAGGGTTTAGGGTGTAGGGTTTAGGGTTTAGGGCCTAGGGTTTAGGGTGTAGCGTTAGGGTTTAGTGGGTGAAACTCTTCTAGCTTAAGCATGAGAGGCCACCGTGCCTCATGACGCCTTGATTGCCTGAGGTATTTGTTCTGGTGGAATGGCGCCGTCTTCGTCTTCCCCACTGTGGTGCGATATGTGGGCTCCTGCAAGACCCTTGCAGGACTTATCGTTCTGATCCTTTGCATCGTGGTACCGGCGGTCCTGATCCTGCTGTCCCTACATCACTATGCGCCTTGACGGAGTAGGGCATACCCTGAACCCTAAACCCTAAACCCCAAACCCCGAACCCCGAACCCTAAAACCCGAAACCCTAAACCCTAAACCCTATACCTTAAACCCTAAACCTTGTAACTGTCCCAATTCCTCTCCCCCTAATATCAATCCCTCCCTCCCCCCCAATTTAAATACCCCCCCCCCATAGACTGTAAAATATCTATAGGATAACTATATTATAGCGGGAGTATTTAGAATTCGGGGGTAGGCTTGGGTTTAATACTGGGGGGAGGGGGATGACTAGAATAGAAGATGGCAGATTGCAAGCGCTAAACCCTCAACCCTAAACCCTAGCCCTAAACCCTAAACCCTAAAAGCTAAACCCGAAACCCTAAATTCTAAACCCTAAACCCTAAACCCTAAACCCTAAACCTAAACCCTACACCCTAAACCCTAAACCCTAAACGCTAAACCCTAACTGACATCCTGGGCTCGCCCACCCTTGAGGTGCGTTGTTGCATGAGCACGCACAACTGCATCAACGAGTACGAGGCCCTGCTGTTCAGGTCGTGGAGTCGACATTTGGGAGGTGTACTAAGCGGTTTAGGTTTAGGGTTTAGGGTTTCGGGATAAGGGACCCCTAAGATACACCCCCCCAAATAGTAGAGTTCCCTTAGAAAAAGGACCCCAAACAGGTACCCCATGGTACCCCTAATTTCATGTTCCGGAGATTCCCAGTGCATGACGACCCATGGCAGGACCTGCATCTCTCACAGAGTGAAGCAGAAGAGGATGTGAACACCTGGTTCAAGCACAACAAGGGAGGTGGCTTGGAGGATTGCTTGCAGGATATGGCCGCCCGCCATGGCAAGCTCGTCATCTGCTTGGATCGGATTTCTCAGCAGCATGTGGCGATGTACTTCCACAAGAAACAGGCTGAGAGTGTGGGAATTCCGCTGACGCCAGCCGAGCTTTACCGAGTCTCATACATGTAAGTCAGTAGCGTGAAGATGCATTCGGCTTTTCCATCAATAAATTCAAACCTTGCACCGCGCTTGATCGTTTTTTGGGGCACTGGCTCCCCAACGAAGGAATGTCCAAGATGGACTCCTGTATACCCTGCGCCCCAAGATCTGCCCGGCCATGAGAGAAACGCAGGAAGCATCACTCGTGTAGGACGTGCGTGCGACACGCAGGTGGATGCTGCGGAAAAGTGGTGCTGTTCAGCATTGATTCTTTCTTCCCAAGCCTCGGGTTCACCCGATTGATCAAGGCTCCTTATATTGTCCGAAACCCTAAACCCGAAACCCTAAACCCTAAACCCTAAGCCTTGAGATCTGAGCCCTAAACCCACCGCTGCGTTGCCCGCGAGAGCTGTGTCGTCTCGAGTGATCACCACCTCTGAAGACTTCAGGGTTGATGATTCTGCTTAGGGTTTAGGGTTTAGGGTTTAGGGTTTAGGGTTTAGGGTTTAGGGTTTAGGGTTTAGGGTTTAGGGTTTAGGGTTTAGGTTTAGGGTTTAGGGTTTAGGGTTTAGGGTTTAGGGTTTAGGGTTTAGGGTTTAGGGCTCAGGGTTTAGGGTCGGCTACAGCCGAGAGGGGCTCCTCGAGTTGCCCACATGCGATTGCCGCGCGTGTGGATGCCTTCGCGCCCGGAGCTCAGGGTTGGGGGTTTCAGGCTTTGGTTTTAGGGTTTAGGGTTTAGGGTTTAGGGTTTAGGGTTTAGGGTTTGGGGTTTAGGGTTTAGGGCTTGGGGCAGTGTAGAAGAAGCCGAGCATGCGGCGTGCCGCTCGTTCTGATTGCTAAAGTTGTGCTGAGGCATGCCAGCATGCCCGCAACTGCACCTATCCTCTTACTGTTGAATGAGGGCATGGGGTACCCTAAACCCTAAACCCTAAACCCTACACCCTAAACCCTAAACCCTAAACCCTAAACCCCCTAAACCCCCTAAACCCTAAACCCTAAACCCTAAACCCTAAACCCTAAACCCTAAACCCTAAACCCTAAACCCTAAACCCTAAACCCTACATAATCCCTTCAAGGGTATCTATAGGGGGATATAGGGTACCTCCCTAAGTCCTTTTCAGGATCCTAGAAGTCTGCCTTTTCCCCGCAGTCTTCTTTGGGTTGCCGAAATGAGGGCTACTTTCTTGGGGTGCTTATGATTAGGGTTTAGGGTTTAGGGTTTAGGGTGTAGGGTTTAGGGTTTAGGGCTTAGGGTTTAGGGTTTAGGGTTTGGGGTTCCCACTATTGGGGGTATATTGGGGGTCCCTTCTTGGGGTCCTTACTATCAGGGGATCCTACTATTGGGGGGGGAGGGGGGGGGGGGCCCCCCTACTTTTTGATAAAGCCCCTTCTCAGTCTTGTGGGCGTGGCCAAGGTCACCACGATGCCTTCGGCGAGACTTCGCGAGGCCACTGAAGACCACACCTGCCGTCAGGGTCTTGCTTGGATCATGGTACTTATTCACCAGTTGTAGCTGTACTTATCACCCACTTATAAGCCCCTTAAGTGCCCTAATATGGCTATAGGTACAGTTGTAAGTACAGTTATAATTGGTTAATAGGTACCTGATCCTGCAAGTGATTCTGGCAGCGCTGATTTGCAAAGCTATGGCATCTTGCGCAGCTGATGGTGTCGGTGGGCCGAATCAGAGCCTCAATTTGCCTCGTCTTGTTCCTTGAAGATTGGGTCAATTGGGTCTGGTAGTGCACATGCTGTACGACGTGTCTGCAGGGCTCGCAGCAGGTGGGGTGCAGCTGCGCTATTTTACACCCCCTGAAGCAACACGTCCACGCCTTGCTCCAAGCCGAAAGGTTGCAAGCCATCATGGTGCCGAAAACTCCATGTCCAAAGCTGTTTCAAGCTTCGGGTCATTCATCTCGAGAAGGTTGTTTCTCAATAAGACAGTTCTTTAAAGGTCTGGCCAAAACATTCCAACAAATTCCAGACACATTCCAAAAAATTTCAAAGCATTCCAAAGAAAACATCCCAAAGCCATCCATTCGGATTGTCAGTCCAAGAAACCACCATCTAGCAAACCCTCAGATTCTTACGGAACGGAAGATTCAGGCATCAACAGCGATGACACAAAGCACGACATGTAATGGCAAGTTTGCACGGACATACTACATGCGGACACTGGGTCGTTCTTCTTCTTGTGACAGCGAGCTCGTTTCTTGAGTCGGCTGGAATGTTGTGGCAAGGCTTGCAGCTGTCACACAAAAACGGAAAAGCTTTGCAAAGGAAAGGGTGAGAGTTGTGCGGTGGAGAAGGCACCGCTCCTGAAACGACTTTTGTGACCGCCCCGCTGGGAAAAGAAGGACCGAGAGCGCTCGGGGATGATAGGGAACCCTGAACCCCAGAACCCTTATGGGATCGAAACTTGGGGTTTTGCAAGAGCAGCTTTGCGTCGAGTGGCCAGAAGCCTATTGCTTCTTATCCCACCCCAAACCCTAAACCCTAAACCCCAAACCCCTAAACCCTAAACGGCGCTCTCGCCTCTTTTGTTGCACCCGCGTCAGCATGTTCCCTCCCTCGGAACCTTGTGACTCCTGCAGACAACACGAGACGTGTATGGCTTCGGCAAATCACTAACGCTTCTCACTTCTCACAGTGGAGGATCTACAGACCTCTTTTTCGAAGAGTTTAGGATCTTGCCGGGTGTGTTCAATCTGTTGTAGTCCATGTTCCTGTCGGCGCTTCACTGACATCATCATCATCATCATCATCATCATCATCATCATCATCATCATCATGCGATGGAGCTCATATTCTCGTTGTCTCCCGGCCTTCGTCGGGCTGTTGTTGAGCCACTTGTATATGAGTTCGTCCTCTCCTCAGCCCCCTTTCGCACCGTCACTTCGCTCGCCAACTGGTCCCACCCATTCCGCTACGAGGCATCCTTGTGGATCTCGGTTGTAGTGGCCCCCAGATAATTGCCTGCACCCTAAACCCTAAACCCTAAACCCTAAACCCTAAACCCTAAACCCTAAACCCTAAACCCTAAACCCTAAACCCTAAACCCTCAACCCTAAACCCTAAACCCTAAACCCTAAACCCTAAACCCTAAACCCTAAACCCTAAACCCTAAACCCTAAACCCTAAACCCTAAAGACCCCTTTCATCGAAGTACTGGGCAACCAGGCCAGAGTAGCAGTTCAGGCCCAAGGTCAGCTGTGTGAGGTCGTTGCTTCCGATGGAGAAGCAAGCAACGAAATCCAAGAACTCCGTGGCTGGCAAGACATTGCTGGGCAGCTCAGCCATCTTGTTCACCTTCAGCCCATCTTCTCAGCACTTCAATCCATTCGACTCCAGCATCTCATTGACGCCCTTGACCAAATCCAGGGTGCACACGAGCGGGATGATGAGCTCCACATTGTTCAGGCCCATCTCACCCTGCATATCTTCGCAGCTTCCAGCTCCATGGCTAAGCGCTCCTCGAAGAATGGGTCGATCAAGCGTACCCCTTCCCGCCGACCTTCCCAGCTGTTGGGGTTTTTCCAGCCCTGGTGCGGGGGGGGGGGGGGGTTTGTTAAATGGCTTTTTTTGCATGGTCCTGCGCTTTGAGAAAGCAGCAAGGCAAGATTCAGGGATTGAGCTTTGTGGCACGTGAGAGCCTCCGGTTTTCACATCCGGTCCACCCTTCGGCTCACATCTCCTCAGCATCTTTGCTTTGTGTGTTGACCCCACAGCCTCCCAGCGCACCATGGCGACGCGGACATCCTTGTTGAGGCCCATGATGTGCCCCTAAACCCTAAACCCTAAACCCTAAACCCTAAAACCCTAAACCCTAAACCCTAACCCTAAACCCTAAACCCTAAACCCTAAACCCTACCTAAGAGATGCTGAGCGTTGTTGGATGTGAGCTGTTCACGCTTTAGGGTTTTTCATCCTTGGTTAAGATGTGTTCGTTGGGATGTTCCCCCTTATACTAACAGTCCTTAGTAGGGATTCTAGTAGGGAGTACTAGAATCCCTATTGGAGGACTGTTAGTAATATAAGGGGAACATCCCGATGTATTCGACCTGAGCTGTGAACCTATTGCTGGAAGGCCGCTGTTGCGTGGCTGCCGTGTCGGCCTCCGCAGCCTACATGGAAGTGCCTTCGCGCGAACGAGTAGTCGCGGGCACGTAGAACTTGTCGAACTGCTTGACGGGTGGGCTAGACCAGGACTGAAAGAAACGAGAATGACATTCCGCACCACTTCTGCAGCAGGGTTTAGGGTTTGAGCCTGAAGCTTTCCTACCTCAGTGTTCGACCTCCCCTACTAGGGTACTTATACCCCAATGGGTAGTTCTAACCCACTTACAAGCCCCTTAAGTACCCCGACAGGGTTATAATTGGGTAAATATCAATGGTGACTAAGTACCCGCCTCCAGTATGGCCTGTTAAATCCGAGGTCGCCGATGCCTGGATCAAGCCAAGGCAGGGGGTGGGGGGGGGAGGAGGAGTTTTCCAAGTTCGTAGCTCCTGACCAGGGCCCCTCGTCACTAAACCCTAAGACCTTGGGCCCCTTAGAGATTTGCTAGGTTTAGGTTTTAGGGTTTAGGGTTTTAGGGTTTAGGGTTTAGGGATTGGTTTAGGGTTTAGGGTTTGCGACAGGTGCGGAGGGTTTGGGTCGCCAAAGAGCTCTGCACGGGAGAAGATGAAGCCAAATCCCAAGAGGGGAATCCCAACTCGTCAAAACTCCCTACATGAACGAAACCGGCGGGGGGGGGGGGGGGGGGGGGGGGGGGGGGGGGGTGGGGGGGCGGGACACACCCTAAACTCAAAAACCAAAGCCCGAATGCAACCCTCAATCCAAGCCACTATGATACCTAGACCTAAACCCTAAACCCTAAAACCCTAAACCCTGAATTACAAACCCCAGACCCTAAACCTAAACCCTAAACCTCAATAGTTGGGGGGCATGTTGGGGCCCAAGGCCTTTTCTAGGTTTGGGAGTTTGGGGTGGAGGGAGTCCCCAGTTCATTGTTGATCGTTTTTCGGTTTTC